GCAAAGGAATGTCCACTACACCTGTCAGCGACTGGTGATTGGTCAGTGTCTGGGGGCTAAGATCAGTTCGACTTACAATCACTCAATATTCCTGAAATTCATGTAGATACTCAGGCTTATATCATGTTTATAACTGTCAATGATACATGTATTTTTAATTTACTCAAAAATCATTTTAGAATTATCGATACCCTGCCATAGTTGACTTACGAGACACATACATACATGTATTTAGCTATATACTTTATTAAGAAAACACTATCTAGTACAGTATTTACACAAATATTCGCACGAACATATCCTTCTGTGAAACACTGTTAGATACAAAATTCAAAATTATCTCCCTTTGTTAAATGTTGATATATTTAATTCTTAAATAAATCTTCTTATCGTTGTATGTTGTAATGATCTTTGCATCTTCTCACACGTTTTAAATTATTAGTAGGATCTCTCCCCCTGTTATGGCGAGTAAAGGTACATGGAATCCAGTTAAACTCTTCCACTCTTGCAGGTCTGTTTGGATGTTTGATATCACAACCTGTTACATTACAGCTAGGGACCCAAGTAACAAAAGCGGGAATAAGATGTAAAGATTATAACATAATGTTGTACAACAACTACGACGTGACGTCACATTGGCAATATTGTCAATTTTCGAACTTGGCTTTGGTATGGAGAAACTCCACAGCTCGCGATAGATCTGTGCCATGTTTCTTTGGCAGATTATTCAGATTTCAATAAGACAATTGATACTCTTGTCTATCTTCAATATTGAAAATGAAGTGACGAAGATTATAATATACCATGATAGTACACATTGGCATGTATTTTTCAAATTTTGGTTTCACATTTTTGTTTGTTTTAAATTTCAACTTTAAGCATTCATGAAAAAGCAGGTACGTGCAAGATATATCCCTGCATACTTATTGAAAATACAACTTATTAGATATTCTATTCTTTAATTATAAAGTTCATTACTTTCGCTCCGTTTGGGGTTAGATTTCACAATAATTGCATGGCAATACTTTTTAAAAGACTTCTTCTTACGTGTAACACAAACGGCGAGATTAGCCTACAAAATTTCTTCTAAACTGAGTATCTAAAATTTCAATAAAGACTAAATCGATACCCCCTTCAAAATGGTGCTACATGCAAAAACTACTATGGTTAGAATGATACAGATTTCCCATATATCATGGAATAGGTATGTGCGTAGTTTGATAGACATGTATAAATGACATAGTTTGTACACGATTGAATATAAATGACAGTCCGACGACAAGATGATGACGTACAATACATATCCGATGTACCCATGGAATCCTTGACCGGCGTTCTGTGTACCGTAAGTCTGTGTTAATATGCGCGTGTTCCTATATATGGTCAGTATGGCCATCCCCCGCACGGTCAGCAGTACTATTGGTCACGGTCAGTAGAGCAGTAAGGAACACTGGACTGCACTTTGTTACAGTCCGAACTTGTGTCCGTAAAATGACCGTCAAATCTCATCCTAATACAACCTGGCCTGACATCAGACAGACATGTTATCCATGGTATAACTGTGTTACCTGATATGAATCTTCCACCGTGGTTCTAAAGGTCAAATGGGGTCACACAGTAATATATGCATGTAGTGGGTAATTAGTGGAGATGAACCCAGTAGTCAATTAAGTCGTCCGGGTCGTTTAGCAGGTATACGATACCGCCCTGTAAACCAATATTTTTTCTCGTGACAGATTGTGTTTTTGTTTAAGTGTTCACTATTGTGATTAGATTTAAAGATGAACAATAATTAGCAAACGCGGGGTTCATGGACCCTAACGGTCATCTTAATACAAGGATCTATACACTATAGGATAACAGTGTTGGCAAAGTGAGTCATTATTTAATGACGAAAACAATTTTTGATACTTTAGAAATTGAACGTGATAAAAACACCAACACTGATCATTGCAGTTTCTAAATATCAGTATATGTATATAACCAAAGTCAATGACACTAGTAGAACAGAAGATCTGATCAAATATGTGTTTGTTGGCGGTCATGGCGGCCATATTTGATTTTGGACAAATCCCTTAAATAAGGACAGTATGATATGACCATCTCTAGCTCATTTCAGGCAAGATTTGGCCGAATCCATTGGTGGAAGCTACTTACTCAAGAAAATGAATTAGGTGTACAGTCGACTGTTGTAATGATATGTTATCCACGCGTTTCCACGGTGAGAGGTGTGAAATATGAAGTTAATTATAGAATTATAGTTGATAATGTTATTTGTCAGATTATATTATAGGGACAACATAAGAATTTGCAATTGATTTCCATTGAAAGGCCGTAGTACTGGACTTTAAAGCCGTAAATAAATTGGTAAGTGAATAAATAGATAGATCTGGCTAGTGTGTTCATAAAACTTTAGACTAACCTAAGTGGGTCTGATCTTGTTTTCCTCACAGAATGGAACGAAGAAATACGTATAGGTAGTTACTATGTGAAAATGTATGTAATTGCAAACACAATGATTAAAGAGAATTATCTTTGAAAGTAGGGGAGAAGTATTTTAAACAGAAACACAGATGGAGTGTCCGGTGATTCAAATTATTGGGTTATAAGAGAGCAGTGTCAGAGTGGTCAGCTGTGTAAATCAGGGAGAGTGTCCAGTGATGGGAGGCGGATGTTCATTGTGTTAAGATAAGTAAGTAACTATTAAGAAAGTGGTGTGGCTTGGCTCGGCTGAAGTAGACAGATAATTAGTAGAGGATTTAAGAAAGTTACTATTCGCCGAGTTGAACGATGATATAAAAGATTATTGTTTTCTGAGAGAGAGAGAGAGAGAGAGAGAGAGAGAGAGAGAGAGAGAGAGAGAGAGAGAGAGAGAGAGAGAGAGAGAGAGAGAGAGAGAGAGAGAGAGAGAGAGAGAGAGAGAGAGAGAGAGAGAGAGAGAGAGAGAGAGAGAGAGAGAGGAGAAAACACGAGCTATATACTTTGTATATATGTAGATCATGCATCTGTCCCTTCTCCATGCAAGCGAAACATGTGATACACTGTCCACATGCCTAAACTTCCCGTGCTTTGTTTACTTCCACCCTGTCACTCGTTGCTTTCCTGAATAATGACTCCGTCACATATATGTAGATAAAAAAAGTTATGTTTATAGTGACGAAATAAGGAAACCCTCCCCCATAACCAGTAACAGAAAACACATGCTAAAATGTCATTTCTATAACTGTTCTGTTAACGAAAAATATCTGTAAATATATTGAAGTGTGTTGTAGAAATATTAATTCCTACAGCCGATAATATAGATAGGAATGTAATTTGATGTTAAAACAAGTTAATATTTAGCCTTAATGTGATGAACTCGAATATTCGTTTTTTTCCTACTCACGTTTCCCTTAGAATTGGTTGTTATGGTGTGTTCTATCTTATCAAATCAGAGAAAGTCGTACAGTCGATATCATATTTAAAGTTTATTTCAATTATAGTTTGTTTAGGAGGTGATTGAATATTGATCAAATGTCGATTTGGTGATGGACCTTTTTCCTATGTATTCAAGACCAGCAACAGCTAAGTCCTAGTTATTCAGTGGTAAATATCACTGCTGAGTATATGTATACGGGTATGGTGTAAGGGACACAACTGCTTCAGGAAAATATTCTTAAAATAGACCAGGAAGTTTTTTAAATAATGTAACCTGCTAGTAAAATGTAAACAGCAGAGAGTTGAACTCTGTGTTATCAATCTGTCGATGTCATGAAACGAGACATGATATTACAGTGTTTATTGTGGCTGTGGATCATCACGGTTGAAGGTAAGACCTTGTATAAGTGTTGACAGTCAGATCGGCGTTACCCGACGACCTATTATCATATATTCAAATTTTACTCCCTTATTGTTAACACGGATCTGCTCCCATACACTCAGTATCAATGGGTTATTTTTGTAAAACACCCGAGTCATTATACGTATGACTCCAGGTGTATTATTCAGATCGATATGACGTAAGTCACGATAATTATAGTAACTAAATTGTCCTATGTATTGTCACCGTCAGTATACGTACATATCACGGTGTCTGTCTTATTAATGATTTGACGTTAATCTTGTAGTTTTCGCTTACCTATATTAACACTAAATTGTACATCCGAGTAGGAAAAACATGTCTTAGTTTGAGTACTAGGGAATTGTCTGTTCGTCATTTACGCTTTTCAATACTCCCTGGTTGTCAACACTAGGTCACATTAATGCCTTTATTGCTTTAAAAGATACTAACATACTTTAATGATCGTAGAAAATGAAAATAAACCTATTTATCATATTTTTGTAGATGTAGTCAAACACAGTGTATTTTATGTTTGTTATATTTTTTCGGAGTGAAATATAAGACTTTGTTTCACAGTGAAAACATGAGTGATATTTTCACAGTGAAAATAAAAAAAAATATTTTCTCTGGTTTTGGCAAAAGGGATCACAGATTTAGAGACACCAACTGAGAACGACAACACTGATAAAGATTGTGACAATTTATTTAGAATTGTTTGAAAAAAAACTTCTGTCTTACATCGGTGATCTATGAAGATGGTTTTAAATCTTAACAGAACACCCAAATACATGAAAAACAAATGACATAATATATATATATATATTTTTTACACTAATTTAAAAAATTATCAGCGTTTCCACCAAACTCTATGAAACATAACTGCTTGTCATTCATAAAAAGGGAAACAAATCCTTTATTAATTTAAGCTTTGATAGGAATATGTTTAAGTTTCATACTGGTATGAAAGAAAATCTTTTGCAAACTAAATAGATACGTACATGATAAGTTTCCTACAAAAGTTAGACCCTTCGCGAGATTACACGCGGACTAATACAAAGTGATTGGTATAAGTTGAAATAATTTGTTTGGTAATTGAAGTATACTAAACAAACATATCAACATAATCCTACTCCAAACTCAAATTCCACAACACTGGGGCAATATCTGAAAAAAGATTTACATGGACACTGCTGGAAAATTACAAGGAGAGAAACCAGGTATTCCGGAAGAGCAAACGTCTTCTGCTTCTTCGACGACACCTGTTAATGTAAATCGTGGCCAATCGAAGTGAGTAATGTCAGGTCCTCAACAGCGAACATGATATGTAACAACGGAACCAACAGGCAAACTAACGAGCAACAAAAACCTCCAAATTCATATCGCACAAAAATAGAATATTTCCCAATGAGATCACTATGATGACTATGAAACCTATACTTTTCAACAAACTGTATGTTTTGAAACCTGTGTTACGTATTAGACCGTCACTTGACAACGTCTAGCACGACGACCGTGATGTTTTATCTATGTGTTTATTGTAAAATCTGTTTTATTGCATTTAGGTTTTAATTGTAAGGATTACAAGGAGAATGATTTTTTTAAACACAATCACATCATACGACATCATATATTTATACTTCGTTTGCATCAAGGCGTCATTCTTTATATAAAGGAAAATAAAGATACTACGCTGGTTTTATAAACCAGTACATTGTACATCTACTTTAAAAAACAAACTGAAAATGTGTGAACGCGTTGCTAGAATGTCACTATAGTTTAGACTTATAGAAAACATATATATGGGTCAGTGATAAATCATACATTGCTGTCGCCTATTCCATCTTCCTTTTTGTTACAGATGTGACTGGATTATCTGTGGTGGTCAGTCCGTCCCCTACAGCTAATGTCCTGTCTGGTGAGACCCTAAGTATCACGTGTCAGTGGTCAGCTGACTACACTGGCCAATTGGCTTCTGTTAACTATAGATTGAATGATGATGATGGTTCGTTGGGTACATTATTTATGAATTTTGGGACAACATGTCCGGATACACCACCAAACGGACCATCCTACACTTTCTCCTGTAACAGAGATACAAGGACAATGGAGATCCAGATTCCCGCCAATAGTTACAGTCACGGCGACAGATGGACGTGTGAGGGGAGAAATAACACCTCTGACAGTACAACACAGACAGACACGACTACAGTGGACGTTGTTGGTAAGTATCAGATACATACTTGGTACCAGCGCATTGGTTCTATAAAGTCTAGAGAAATATTAATGTTAAGCCAAGGTAGCATGGACATGACAAAATGTAGAAGTTAGACAACTGTCATTTCTTCTGCTTTTTTAAAAATGAATTTCTTCTGTTTTCCCTAATTGTACATCACAAGACTTCACACGCGATTAAAAACAAAACAAAGATGACAATAATCATCGCTTCATCAACTCACTAACCTAGATTTTGTGCAAGACTGTCAAGTTGTAATTATATCCTGCATTTCCTGTTTAAAGACGTAATGTAGATTTGAATGCTATACGATGGTCATGACATGTATATGGTGAAAATATCAAGAAAATTGATCTTTTGTTAAAAGCCTTGTATGCAAATATTCTGAAAAGTCAATAAGATATTACTAAAGCTCTGTTATGATGAGTTAATTTAAACCACATTAGAAAGGCAAAGTGATAATTGCTATTTTACCGTAAGTAAGGGTTCATTGCAAATCAGAGGACGAATAAGATGTACCATGAAGCCAAGTAAAGAAAATGCTTGTTGTAGTTACCGGGGATACCTTTAAATGGTCCCGATGAACGATGTTTGTCTTAATTCATCCTTATCTGATCAGGCATGAGGTTTGATACACCAATTATTGATATTGATAACATGACTGGTTATGGAATGATAATGATAATAAAAAATAATGTCAAAAGTATTTTCAAAAGATGAGGATATTCGTCATTTTCTTTGTAAGGACTCATTAAAAAATCTGATGTATGTAGAAACTGAGAGAATATTACGAATTAAAAACTTAATAGGCGAGACACTACCTTATTTAAGTTACAGTGTATCTTTTCCTGAAGCTGAGTGACTCTGGAAATCCTCCAAATCGATTTATTCAAATGTCTGATGATCAAAACACTAAAACCTTAAATAACAACAAAAATGTCAATGACAACTAGAAATTGTTGTTAACAATTTGGGGGGCTTTTCACTTCTTTGACGACAAGTTGACCGGAAGTTGACATGTATCCTGATAACGATATATGAGAAAGATTCCTTGTTTGTTAGTCTCTACAACATATCCAAAGATGAACTTTGAATCTTGAAACATTTAGGTGATATAACTACATAATAACGAAGAAATACACTTTTTAAAGGTTCAAATATATTTGACCCATGTGACCTTGAATGTCGGTCAAGGTTATTCATATTTGCAAGCCTTATAATGTAACATCTGATGATCAATATATCCCCAATATTAGTTCTCTAGACCTTGTGAAACTTGACAAGAAGATTGTTGAACACTGGTACCCTATTTTGTATATTTGAACTTTGACACCTTTTGAAAACGGAAGTCGACATTTAGAGGGAAGTTTTCCTTATAACAATCACTAGGAAGTCTGCAGAGAAGGTTTATAATCAATTTTCATCATTGTATGCATTCTAGAAATTGAGAAACTTTCATTTAACGATTTTTAGTTAATTGACATCTGTGACCTTGAAAGTGGGTCAAGGTCATTGATATTATCAAACTTTGTTGTCGGTTACACATCCTTCCTGTATATGAAATATCAAGCATCTAGGCCTTCTAGAACTTGAGAAGAAGTTTTTCAAAGATTGGTACCCTAAATAGCTCTTTCCAAGTTTGTGCCCTACCGAAAACCGGAAGTTGAACTTTTAAGGAAGTTTTTCTTATGACAATCAATAGGAAGTGTCTACAGAAGGTTTATAATCAATTTTCATCATTATGTGCCTTCTAGAAATTGAGAAACTGGCATTTAACGATTTTTAGCTAATTGACCTCTGTGACCTTGAAAGTGGGTCAAGGTCATTTATATTATCAAACTTTGTTTCCAGTTACATATCCTTCTTCTATATGAAATATCAAGCCTCTAGGCCTTTTAGAACTTGAGATGAAGTTTTTCAAAGATTGGTACCCTTAATAGCACTTTTCAACTTTGACCCCTACCGATTACCGGAAGTTGACCTTCGATCCCAGTTTTTATGTTGGGAAAAGTCCTTTCTTATTAATTTACATAATATGATTAAAACTGAGCTCACTAGCTTTAACAGTTCTTGAGTTACGGCATTTTAAGTAAAATCGGAAATGACGTCATGGCGGCCATTTTGTTTTTCCGATGAATTTGTAAATCTCACTAAATGGTAGAAGATATCTGGGGAAATCTTCTCAGTAACAATTTGATAAAATATAGCCCTTCAATATTGTTCTAGAACGAGTTTTTCCTATTAGTCGGCATTTTTAAAAGATCAAAGGAAATTTTCAAAATGGCGTACAGCGGAAATGGTAAACGTTTCAAAAGAACTGAAAACACTAAATTCATCGGAAGGACGTTCTGCATCGATCTGAAGAAGAAAATTTCAATTTTTTATTGGACATATTTTCTGATATCATGTCATGACAAAAATTTAGATAAGGAAATTCTCTACAAATAATATAACTGCACAAACTCTGTATAATCAACGGTTTTCGAGATATTGCCGTTTTTAAGTTTTTAACTTATGACGTCATGGCGGCCATATTGGATTTTTGACCTACTTAAAATAACGGCATCGACAAGTTCATATACGTTTCTACATACAGGTGAATAGACTGTATATCTATATATTTCGAAACAAGATTACGAACCCACAAAATTGGAAGAAGAATAAGAATAATAATAATAAGAATAATAATAAAAAAACCGAACAAAAACAATAGGTCTTTTCACCACTTAGTGAAAAGCCCTAATTAGAATCACAAGATTGCCAACATTCTGTTATCAACACATTTCAATCATATTAGCAATAGAAACTAGATAATTGAATAATATCAATCAGTAATGATAACTTAAAGCAGAAACGAGTGTCGAATAAAAAAACTGCTGACGAAAAGACAGCTGTACTGGTAACAGGATATATACATATACACAATGTATGTGTTGTATATGTGGTATTGTCAACTCGTGTTATGTCAGTCCTGTTGAATCAATGGATATATATATATATGACTAGGAGCGGGTCAGAGATTCCCTACGTTAATCTTATTTGTTATCCATTATCTTTATGGTGAATTTTTCACCATTTTAATTAATTAATAGTTTCAGAATGTATAGTAATAAAATATGATGGTATCCAAACGTTTGACTGACGTAATATTGATATTTCCTGTACGTATATATTGCAGTTCCTGTGAAATCCGTGATTATCTCCCCTTCCAAAACTGTGACTGTAGATTGATGTGACATTAACATTATATGTATATATTACAGTTCCTGTGACATCAGTGATTATCTCCCCTTCCATCATTGTTACTGTAGACTGATGTGACATTAACATTATATGTATATATTACAGTTCCTGTGGCATCAGTGATTATCTCCCCTCCCACCACAGTGACTGTAGATGTCGGTACCAACACCACCTTAACCTGTGTCACGCAGCCCCACAGTCGACCTACAGCCAATGTCACATGGTATCGAATGGTCAGTGGTCAGCCACAGATGATTACCTCCAACATTTCTGTGTCGTATGACGCTCAACACTCAGCTCTATCTACTACCAGTGTTCTGTCATATGTACCATCAAAGGAGGACAATGGACGGGCCGTATACTGCGTTACCGACGGTGGATGGACAGGAAGTACTTCTACAACGATAAAGTCAAATGAAGTTTCACTCAATGTGAGATGTAAGTACAAACTGATAGCAATGTTGTGTATAGCAAAATAATTCCTTTATTCATTGTTGTATAATATATTGTAAATCACTTTATTTCGTGCACTCACCTTTGCAGATTTTGTTAATACTTTTAAATTTTGATTGTATGATATTTGCTGCCAATTTGCTTATGAGAATCATGTGACTATACCTGAAAAAATAATTTGGTCATGTGATGCATGTTTTGTCCATACCGAATCGTATTAAACGGAGTACAGAATAAAAGAAACGGATGTGAACACTAGACATGCTTTTAGGTATTAAGAGTGAAGTGAGTTGTTTTCAGGAGGGGAGGGTTGATGATGACAAGACTTCAATAGGTCAGACTACTGTGCAGTGATCAACGTTGTAAGGTTTTTATACCTATCATATAGTAGTCATCAAGCAGTAATGACTCTTGACGGTTTTCCTACTGTAATCAGGGGTCTGAAAAAAATATTTTAAACCACTACGCACAGGACTAGTGGACTGAAAAAAATTTACTCGTCCAGATTGGAAATTTACTTGTACAAATTCAGCCATGGAATGGCACCTTAATCAGCGTTTTATGATCAGTCCCAGATAATTTTTCTTGAATGCTTGAATTGATTTCAACCAAATTTAGACTGAAACATCACTAGGAGTGGGGAATAATTACTTAGATTCAGAAAGTTGATTTGACCTCTAGTGAATAGGTATGACCTTGATCTGGTTGAAAGGTCACAGGGACCAAATATGTTTAAATCTTGAAATGACTTCTTCTCAACAACCAAGGATGATGATATTAGGCCTATGTCAGCCCACTTTTTTTTTATATGAATGGCACTTTCAAGGCCAAGGTTTCCAATGTGTTAAAATATTTATATTACTTCTCCTCAATAACTAAAATGTCAAAGGTCTCGATATTGGGCCTTTGGCTTGCTTTTTCAACAAGTGATATATCTGAAGTAATGACAATTTTGACGCGCATATATAAAGAATATGATTGCAGGTTTGCAGAAAATGTCTAGGTGAACCAACAATGTGTTCTATGTAAGCTGTAGAGTAATTTATTTTAGGCCTGTTTTGCCTCTTTCATATATTGGTCTTTCAAATCCGTCTCATGAACCTTCTATGTAGTGTTACTCTTGAAAATGTTGAATTCATTCACCACCATTCATGAAAAAAAAGTTGAGTTTAAAATCTAGGATGTATGGAAGTCATGTTTAAACGGGTGTAATCAGTACTACATTTTAGAGTGAATAGAAGATTATCCGTCCAATTTGTACGAGAGAAGCATTATAATTGGTAACATTCCCACAGGACTTAGAATAAGAGTAGCCCCACAGGAATCGGATACTGACACCAACTTCGACCTCTTATAGCTTGGATGAAAAACACAAAAGTAAACAATGGACAGAAAGGAGAAATAAATACACTATTGAATTTTTATATTCTCTGTTTAATTTTCAATTTCATTGTGCGAATAGTCATTTACATAATGAACTGGTAGAAATTAATGAGTCTTGGAAGATTTGGTCAATTGTCTATGACGTCACATTTAATATTTTTCCTCCCTGAGAGTACTTCAGGGGGACAATTTTGGGAAATTTTGTCCTTTGTGATAGAAGCGAAACTAGTAGACAGAATTCAAAAACCACATTAAAATGTTAACGTGTGAGTATGTTGCAACTAATATCTTCATTAAACATACTTAAGTTGTACATGTAATTCTATGTGTCCTCAATTTGCAATTTTACACTAAAATGTAATAATCTTAAAGCTGACAATACAATTTAAAAAAAATTCATTTTGGGATAAAAAAAATGATATTTCCCATATGCTTGTGAGATGTGTTTAGCTATGATAAGAATATTTCCGGTCAGCGTAACGAAGGAAATGGTTGACATTGTAATCCAAGATTTGTTTTGAAATGAGTACAGGCATACCAGGTAACCTGTCAAATATGAGGTTGGCCCAAAAATGGACCTGATCCTACCAACTCCTTAAGTGAAGTACAGTGTTTTAACAATAGAATATCTGGTGATCATCACAAAAGTTAAGTAATAAATGAACATTTTTATCCTTAGATCCTCCGACTCATCCACTCACTGTGACCGGAAACACTGACCCTGTATATGATGATGATGACATTGACCTGCGATGTAGTATAAGGGGAGGTAACCCAATCGCTACTCTGTCATGGATGTGTCCAGGCCAAAGTGTTATGTCTTCGCCGAGCGACACATCGGACACGGCCATCTCTGTTCTGAGAATCACTCTGACACCTTTCTATAATGGTGCCAACTGCACATGTACAGCTACTCATCATGTACAGGGTTTCACAAGTACTCACACCGAGGTTTTCAACGTCTACTGTAAGTCTACTGTGATACTTCTTGTGTTTATATAACTGTGATCACCTCACACCGAGGTTTTTAACGTCTACTGTGAGTCTGCTGCTATAGTTATTGTGTTTATATAACTGTTGATCATCTCACACCGAGGTCTTCAACGTCTACTGTAAGTCTATTGTGATAGTTATTGTGTTTATATAACTGTTGATCACCTCACACCGAGGTCGTCAACGTCTACTATAAGTCTACTGTGATAGTTATTGTGTTTATATAACTGTTGATCATCTCACACCGAGGTCTTCAACGTCTACTGTAAGTCTACTGTGGTAGTTATTGTGTTTATATAACTGTTGATCACCTCACACCGAGGTCTTCAACGTCTACTGTAAGTCTATTGTGATAGTTATTGTGTTTATATAACTGTTGATCACCTCACACCGAGGTCGTCAACGTCTACTATAAGTCTACTGTGATAGTTATTGTGTTTATATAACTGTTGATCATCTCACACCGAGGTCTTCAACGTCTACTGTAAGTCTACTGTGGTAGTTATTGTGTTTATATAACTGTTGATCACCTCACACCGAGGTCTTCAACGTACTGTAAGTCTATTGTGATAGTTATTGTGTTTATATAACTGTTGATCACCTCACACCGAGGTCGTCAACGTCTACTGTAAGTCTACTGTGATAGTTATTGTGTTTATATAACTATTAATCATCTGATATCTCCAATATCAAAATATATTCAACAATGTCTGATAGTAATGTTGTATTTTACAGTTGCCCCACAGATTAGAGCCCTGACTGTGACAGACCCTTTCCCCTGGCTGGCCAGAGAAGATTACGTTGGCCGTCTGTCCTGTGACACTACAAATGGTAACCCATCTCCTACACGGTACACATGGCACAGGGACGGTTTAGTGGTCAATTCTCTGACCTCCCAAGTGATTATGTTTGGACCACCGGTCAGCAGTGATGACGGACGGGTATACAAGTGTAGGGCAGATAACGCTTTCACTGACATCAAAGGATCAGCTCCAGAGTCCCAAATCACGTTAGATGTACAATGTAAGTTTAAATACACATTTCATCAACATATCATCATCAGTAGGCAGGCTGTTTAAATCATCCCTTGTCCATGGGTTGCGTCTACCTCCCTAAACAGTTTTTGTTTCCGCATTTTAGGTCACATGAGACAAAACTAAACATTTTTTGCTGCTCAAAAACTCTTGAACTGATTTCACTAAAAATTTGCAGAAACATATCCTAGCTAAAGACAATCCGATCTAAGCAGTTCATTGTATTGAAGTACTCCCCTCCCCTCAGGGGTCTGAGAGGCAGAACCAAAAAAAGGATCTAATTGGCTCAAATTTCAAAACTGGTCTTCTAATCACCCAGATATGGTAAATTCATATACTGTTTATGAATGGAAGTGTCTGAGGTTGCTTTACCAAAGTTCGTGTGGGTCTCACATTCTTTCTTGTGAGGAGGTTAGTTTTATACTATATAGAAATTGCAATGGGGAGTCACAGTTCACTAAAGAGGGGGTTTGAACCTCACGTTACACTTGAGCGTGTAATCATAATGGCAAGTAAACATGATGGAGGGTAGGATGGGTTTATCTTTTTATTCACTCCAACCTAAACCCTTCCGTCGGCTAACATGGAGATCGTACGTGGGGTGATTTGTATCAAACAAAGCTCTAAAGATGTCTGAATTTGAAAGAAATTTATGTCTAGCAAATTTGTTTGTGATATCATGATATCGTTTATATAAATTAAATGGAAGTGTAAACGGATTCATTGCTCTCTATGCATGTTAACGTGAAACCAAATACTTGCTACGCCAAATATGTGATTTACACAAGGAGGTCCATAATGACTGTCAGTAATAACAATGACTTATCATTGATGCAGATATGGTTTATATTTATGTATGGTGATAAAATAAGAGAAGTTGAAGTGAGGGTCAAATGTTGACTCCCTCCCTTAGAGCAGATTCTTCAACACCTGAAAGAATGACTCCCTGGAGTGGAAGAGCAGGGTCCAGGGAAATATAGAAAGGTTGTTAAGATCCTCCTTGTTTTGCTCGAATGACTTTATTCTGTTCCTATTTGGTCTGAAGCATACCTGGCTGTATAAATCAGGAGCCAGACATCTGAGAAATTCGATTCTGAATGGTGAAATGTTGTAAGTGCTTAAAAATTTCATTCCATACAAAGATGTTGTTCTATTTTGTTCTGTAGGTCAGTGAGTCACAAAATGTAATTGTGAGAATGAAATTTTGAAATGTTTTGTTAGCTGACTTAGCTAATCGATGTAGGCCCCATGAGCGTATTGATTGCCTGATATTAACAGCCATAATCCAGGCTTGTAATATTATTGTGGAATAATGTTTTTCCTGAACAGCACCTAATTCAAAGTTCTTCCACCATTGTAAATCAGTTTCAACTTGCCTCTCATTCATGCATTGGTCCGACAGGTGTTGATATTGTTTTCAGTCTTAAGTTGAATATGGTCACTATCAATGCCATTAGGAACAAATATTTTCAAATAGGATTCCTCTTCAGTTCCACTGGTTCCATTGCACTGAAATTTTGTAGTAATGTTGACAAACTGAATTGAAAGGTACTCTGGTTGATCATTTTGGTTGTGAGCTTTGTCTATTTGATTTTGGGACTGATCTGAATTGGACTTTTGAACTGTTTTTTCCTTCTACAGTGGTTAACGTCAGACTGGTAAGTAAAGGTAAATGAAACAGTCAACTTTTAGTGTAGTTATTAATTATTGTATCTATATATCTCCTTTTACAGTCGCCCCTGTGTTAACATCTGACTGTCAGGTAAAGGTTAATGAGACAGATAACTACCAGTGTACCTGTACAGCTGTAGGTAAACCAACACCTGTTGTTACCTGGTTACCCCAGAATTTGTCATCTAACAATGTCTTGAACTTCCTGTCCATCAACAGGGACAAAGCCGGGCTGTACACATGTAAAGTCACATCGTCATCATCAAAGTTCGGGACACTACAAACTCAGTCTGTTCTCAACCTCGTGGTACAGTGTGAGTATAACCAATCTGTCCAGAACCTCATAATACAGAGTAAGTATAGCTGATCTGTGGTCATCCTTGTGATAGATTGTGAGTATAACCAGTTTGTCTTTATATCCTGTTAAAATCATGTCACATCCATCGAGAAAGAATTATAAAACTCTAAATGTCTTGTGTAAGGTTGATGAGACTGGAAGTTGAAGTATTGGTCTGTATTTCTCAATTTCCTATAGATCAATACTTTGACTGTGCTTTCCTGTTTCGTTCAGAAGGGCATCGTATAACTGATTTCTTTTTTTGTGTGAAGTAGATGTTGCTGGTAATATAAACCATATTGATGAAATAACTTTACTATCGCCGGTATGTTGTAACATATTCTGTCCTCAGACTAGCCTTGTACACCAGGAAGCATTATGTAAAATAAAAATTCAAGTAAATGCACATGGGAATGACTTTGGTATGGATTTGTATTAATTTATAACCGTATTTTATTGTAATGATTACAGATGCCCCGGATGTCACTTTGCTGGCTCAGAATTCCACTGAAGATGTTCGGTCATTGGTGATGACATGTAATGCGTCTGGTGTCCCTAACTCGTACACGTTTGGTAACTGGGTACATAAATATGACAACACCCTTATCAGGACCCTTACTGGTGACGAGAAGACCCAAGGGAGAACTCTCACACTAGACACGGTGTCGTATCAGGACATCGGTACCTACACATGTCAGGTACAGAACTCCATCACGGGAAGGAATGGTCAGCTGACACAGACAGGAACAGCTGTCTTTGATGTTAGAGGTAATTCATGTCTTAACTAACTATATTTACTAACAGCGAAAACGGTGTAAACGTAAATATTTCTGGGGAAAAAAAGACTTATATTATTTTTTCTAGATAAAATAAAATCTGTTGGATTGTTGGATTAGTTACGCTTCAATGGTCAGCGCATGTTTTAGTCGAATTTCATGCTTCAAAGTCACAGAGTTGCAGTGGCTTGCCATGTGCTTTTTTGGAGAACATTTTGCTAAAACATGTTTACAAATCATTAACTGGGCTTAGACATTTACAAATCATCAACTGGGCTGACGTAATATTTGCAGATCAGTGCAAATTTTACCTTGATAACAGTGACAGTCGCATTCGGGTTTCCAGCGGCCATGCCACGGTTACAGTAAAAATAGTGCATTTCACCGTCGTCTGGTTGGCAGAGGGAACATTGTGGTGTGGCGTTGCATCGCAACTAATATATAGACCCTTTATGTTATAGCCAACTTGACGGTCTTAGCTACCGTGACAAAATCATAGGTCTTCACATACCTCCTTTTATGTGTAATAGAATATAACATTATTTTTGAAGCAAGACAATATGCGACCTCATATTTGACTTGGCTACTCAACAGATCAACATCCACAGTATTGAACTGGCAAAACTGGATCTCCATCCCCTTCCCTTTCGTGACTAGGAGTTTCAATCCTGATTAACCGATTACATGTTCAAAAAGTATTTTGTGTATGATTATACAACTGGCGCAGTTTCTTTTCCATTAATATGTATGATATATATATATGATATATGTACTAATACTCAGAACGTAATCAATGTCAATGCTAGTCAGTATATTTATTTTGTTGTTAAGGTAGGCCAAGACTAATTGAAGGAGGATCGATGGATTTCCCCAACAAGGGTCAGCAATATCGGAAATCACTTTTATTCATCAGCCATCCTGCACCAACAGAAATGTTTATCAGTAAGGAGGAACGCCTGACATCTACACAGAATCTCACGATTACTTTTACATCAGAAACAGTGTTGGACGCCTTCTACGGCAAAATCATATCGCGACTCGGATACAAAGTGAATTTATATTTCCCTTCTTTTCAAATCTACCAGATTGGAGATTACAAGCTGACTGTCATCAATGATGTTATCCCGGAACTCGTATTTAAATTCTCGTTTAAAATAGTAGGTAAGTAATTGACAGGTAGTGTCTAGATCATCTGTTCTAGATTGACCAATGAAACTACATGAAAGTAAAGCATATATTTCTTTTTGTTTTCTCCCATCAATTGTCCGTCTATACGCTAATTGGTTTTTTAATTCTTTCTTGCCCAGAAAGCCAGATTGTATTTGTCTATACCATTCCCCGTGTCTCATCTATTTGCTCAAGTTTGGCAACAACAATCTATGACATCAACATACAAGCATACATTGGACGAAAAGATAAAGGCACTATTACCTACTTAACAGAAAAGAATGTGGTCGTTCTTCCTAACACCAATCCAATTGATTTTTCTATCAACGTAGAGTTGCAAAAACATCATAATACATATACAATTCTAAATTCTGAAAAATGTTCTGCCTCTTTGGCAGAGGGACACTGTTCGATCATTATAGTGTAATCGTTTTAGTGCTCCTTTCTTTTATTGGAATGAGTAAATATTTTTATAATTTAATTTTTATCTACCTGAGTGAACTCAATTAGGAATGATTAGATATTCTATAGTTATTCAATATCGGAAATACATTTACAATTTTCTTTTATATGATATCAAATTATTCTCGAACATTGCAGATCGTTAATTGAACTAGAAATGGGTCAGTTTACAAAGTTGGCGTTCTATGCCTCTAACAAGCCAAATATATTTGACTGACCACTTGAAAATAGTCTACATTTATTGACCTATTATTTACATTATTAACGTCTTAATGCCGGTAGAGGAATCATTCAATCAATTCGTTATTGTAATTTTAAAAATGAAATGAAAATATATCTGACTAAAAATGTCCATAAGCAATGCTAACAGCAACAATATCCCTCGCATTTAGCATATTATATATAATTCACTTAATTCAATGCTTCCAACCAATGTAATATCTTATCTTATATTGCATTCTCGGGATTGAAAACGTATTTATTTTTTATAGCAAAAGTATTTATTTCTATACTTTATATTCACCTGTAACATTAAAGCAATTAGTAATGTCTCTATATTGTCAATGTGTATACAACTAAATTACAATAAGGTTTGAAAATTAGCTTTCTTGCGTGTCAATATCAAAGCTTATTCTATGGAAGGGTAATTGTAATGGTTTATACTGTGGCTGCGTACGCAGCGTATAATTAAAAAAATATATGATGCTTTTAGTTTCAGATGAATCCAGTTGTCTGTATTATAAACAGATGTACACTTCATCCATTGCTTTGATCAGTATATCTGTACTCATCTTTCTCATCACCATTGGGATCGGAGTATTTATCACGAGTAAGTATATATCATCTACCATTCTAAGTTGGTAATGAGACAAAAACTGATATAAACATGTATATTGTGATATTCAATTTGATGTCACCATGTGTAACAACGTATAACGTTATCTTGTTTGTTTTGTAGGATTTGGACACCTACCCTTTATGTACGTATACGGTAGAAATTGTCATTAACATCATATCACAGGTGCTTGACACTGCTGATAGGTTTAGTCCACTAGATGCGATTCTCTCGAATAGAACGGAATCTACACATTTACAAACGGTGCATAATACAAATATTATGAATATTTTAAATTTTACTTTCTTGAACCCATCCTCGCCCCAATACCGAGTTCTAGACCGTCACAATATGTGTATGATATTGTATAATTCACAGGGACAATGAACCTTTTTTAATTTTCTATTTCTACATTCATGCATTCCAAATCTATGTCGCTGTCGATTCGATGTCTGAAGGCCTATTCTCATTAACATTAACTTCCCACTTCACATTTCAATGACACATTTGAGCATGTCGTTTAAGGAATTTCTCCAATGTTGGTGTCGATCATCTACATCAGCAGGAAAGATTGCCGCCATCTTTTGACTAGCGCCAGAATTCAAGAGTATATCAGTAATAATATTATAAGAATATCCAACAAGAAAGCGTCACATCAACTTTATATTAATATTGTAATATATGCATAAAAATTTTAGCACAAAATGACTTACCCAGTGTTTTGCCTTAACCTCACGTCTTTTTATAAGTAGTTTGAGTTCCTTCTTGCTGTAACAATATAGTTGTGTAACTGGTAAGTAATCTCGATCTTGCGTCAACCGTTAACATCAGTTCTTTGGCCTTAGAAATGCATCGCTTGTTTTTGAGTGACGAGCTGTTCGAGGCTATGGATACCAGCTTCCTTCTATTTCTTTGGGCGATATAATGTTGGACATGTTTGATGCTCGTGATTATGCCTGTTGGTTCCGCAATATACGTCCAGATGTTGGTACTTTCGTTGTTGCTATAGTATCAATCCTATTGACCTAGGTACTGTTTGATCTTTTCACTTTAGTACAAAAATGTTCAGCAGTGTAATATCTAAAACATGAAAAGGCATGGAAACAGAAACACTTCCAATATCTTAAAGCCAAGTAACTGAGTACATTATATACTTCAGAATGCAATGACACTTACGCTGTCAAATATTCGAGTTAATGTAAGTTCAGATGGGAAAACCATATTGACCAAATACAACACGATCAAGTTACATAGTTATGTTTTGACTCTTATACGATTTTTAAAGGTGAAAATATGTCCTTTGGCTTTTTCCAAAATACAACAAATTAATTTGAATAATGTTTCTTTCAGCGGAGTAAAAAATATAACAATCTGCACATTATTGTAGTGATGGTGCGAGAAGTTCTCCTTAAAATTACTTAGCTGATGTCAACAACTCTCAAATCTAATAAACAAGATAAGTTTGGTTGTTGAGGCCATCATCATATCCAAGATATTTTAATTTTCGTTCCCATTTCATATGACATATATAAAACTAGAGACTATGTAAAGAAGCTTACTATAATTAATCTTACATGATTGTTTTTAAGGAAAAGACGTTCGAGGAATCAGAAGACAACAACTAAACCCTTCAAAAACATAGGAGATTCCGAGCACGGTATGTACATAAAATTGTAATCCTTCCATTCGCCGAACTTTCACATCACCAGGTTTGAGCAGTTTTTGTGGCCATATATAACTACAGCAGCAAAGTCAGTGTGATGAATAGATGATGCTTCAGGGAGATTGTGTTTGTAAAAATTGTGATTTTGACGGAACGGCATCATCATAGTAAAATGTCTTATTTATTCCAACGTGTTTGATTAATGTTACATATATCTTTGTCAGCTCTGTCAACTGATGCATCATTTTTTGTTTGTTTACTTATCATACAAAATGTGAATATTGATACGTAATATTTTGCTTTGAGATACGCGTTTTAACACTACCACAATGTAACTTACTGATCGGGCATTTGAATACAACATAAGGTAAAACATATTGTCATTACTGTATATATAATAACAACAATAAATACAAAGTTATACTATCGCTTTTTTCAGCACTTCTGTAAATACACTCGCACTTTATTTTTGATGTTCAAATTAGATCCAATGATAATATAGATAATGCCATTTTACATGTGTAATAAAGTCGTTGTGATCGTTTACTTTACAGTCTCGACGACAACATCACAGAGTCCGGAAAGGTATTATCAGCAACTTCTTTTTCCTGATCCATGAAAGCTATTTTTCCAACATATCTTAAAGTAAATTGCGGTGGCTGATTTGTGCCATTTCGTTATTTCGTTTTTCGTCACGACACAAATCAGCCACCTTTGTTTTGTCAATTTGACTTTTTCATTCAAATAAAAATCATGATCATGGAAGGTAACTTAAAGGTGTCAAGTGTTTAGTTATGAATTGAAATAATGATAGCTTGTTCTTTAAGTTGCCTTCTATATTTACATAGTTATTAATTGTTACTGTCAAGAGTACGTTTCTGAGACCAAAGGTAATAATACAAATGATAGGTCTTTTGTCTTTGCCAAACGGACATTGCCAAGTTCATTAAGTTTTCAGAACCTTTGAATTACCCCTTGTAACAAATGTTATATAAAATTTTTACTTTAGACAGTCTCGAACCTGAGTCATGATGTGTTGTCTTTGATCATATTCTAAAAGGTCAAAGTTCACGGTAGCTAAAGCGATTAACACTATCTTGTTCGGTATATGGTAAGCATACGATGGGTTATTCACAATTGTTAACTTGTTTAATTGGTTAACATAGAAATTAAAAAATACCTTTAATTTGTTGACGAGAAAATTATCTCATCTTAACAATTGCTAATTGTTTAATTGTGAAATCATCAAACATGACGTGTATGACATATAATGTATAATTCAAACCATATGCATGAGAAGTATTACATAAAGATATTGTATTAGTAATGGATTATTATTTCAGAGGTTCGTATGAAGAGTTGGATGTAACAAACATGGCACCACCAAACGTGTACCAACAGGTCGGACAAGAACATGGTATGATCTTTATATTTATGTTCCACTATATTTCATGTTTGAATAATTATCATTTTAGTTTTCATCAATGTTCATAAAAATAATTCTCAATAATATTTCTACAATATCTTAAAGATAAACATTGATTAATTAAATGAAACGAAAAAGAAATCAATGAAAAACAATTAAATTGAAATGTAGCTACAACAAGGAAGTAAATGAATATTGAATGTGCATTTTTATATGTGGCATTGAACTTACATAATGATATCAGTAAAAAAACGTAATTTTTTGCGGATTTAGGTGTCTCCGAGAACATAGAAGTAAGGTAAGATATGTTATATTTAAATAATACGATTGTTTAGTGAGTATTCCCTAAAACGTGAACATTAGTTTTTAACTAACAGTAAATGGTGTGCTCAAAAATATCGTAAATTGATTTTAGAATATGTCCAGGTATGCTAGATCTTTTTTTTAAATAAACAGATTGATTTAAATATATAGTTTTTCTACTTTTGAAATGAAATTGAATATCTATTTAAAAATGATTTATTATATTGAATTTTGTTTAAAGCAACTATGAGATGTTGGAAGGTGTGAATGGTCCAAATGTCTATGAGGAACTGAAGGATCGAAAAGGTAAAAACTACTGACTTTAGATATCAAAGAATCTTTTCGATCTTTCTGTTGTTGATTATTGCCGATATATCGAGTGATGTATGAATGTGTATAATTGATAAACTGACCATTTGTACTTACAGTTGTGATGTGATCATTACTTTCATTCAAATCTTACATGATATCATCTATATTTTTTAAAGTTACATATTAATATTATCTTTAAAACACTATAGGCAAAGCTTCCCATATTGAAAAGTCAAGTTCATTTCAAAGCGTAGTGCTGTCATTAGCCATAACATCAAGCTACTACAAATACCTTGGTCAAAGTTAATGAGTCAATGTCAAAACAAAGAATTGTCTTATAGTATGCTGTATCACACTGGTAGGAGTAAGGATATCTGCTTTAATTATAGATCTTATGTCATTTATCATTTACAACAAGATCTTACATAATGATTTGAGTGAAAACGTGTTAAGACACAGATGTATAAAAACGACAAAGAAAAAACGGACAGTACGACAGGATCTTCAAACTCAAAATCGACGATCTAGGGCGAAATAGGAACGAAAGAAAGCTCTGCATCGAGAATCCTAAAACGTTTTTTAAGACCATTAGCTTTGGTAGAGCATGCGTTTTCTGCTTCATGGGAAACACCCTGCTATGCATTTATTAATCTATCCAATTAATAATGTGACGCTCCCAAATCCGAACAAAATAAACAGCAACGGGGCCGCATTGCACAAGGAAATAGAATATTTCCAGTTGTGGTGTTTTCGACGACCGTAAAATATTAAGAAAGGAAAGAAATTCTGAGGATACAGTATCTGAATATTTTCAAGAATTACTCGGACTTGAGAGATCAGTGGCTACCTTCTTCCATATTTGGTTCGTTTTTATTCACCGTTCATATAAATACACGAGAGATAAAACATGTGTGTAAAATGACTTTTTATGAATTAGAAGATGAAATAATCTATGAACTTATTCTGACTTTTAAATTTTTTTCTCATTATTGTTTTTTATTTAGGTTCCAGATCATCGCATCTTTACACCAACACAACACTAAATTAAGACATTCTGGCAAGGATCTGACTTCAAAACGCATATCCTGTGGTCAGGCATCTCTCTTGTAAATGTTTCATTTATGCCATACCAGATGACAGACAGTCTAAAATTTGTTTGAGGCAGTGTGATGTCCATGAAGACGAGATGACGGCAGACATCAATATAAACTATATAGTTTGTATACGTAAATATAGTTTCGGAAACTTCTTTAGGAGACATATTTCATTTCAATCAAGCCATTATTTGCATGTTTGCCATGCTTACATTGAGGCTAATATGCAACATACACATGAATAAGAGGCACATACAACGGCATCATTGGTTTTTGTTTTACGTGTACACTTGATATCATTTCGTAAAGCTACAAAACACAGGTGTTCTCAGCATCACAGATAAGTTACGGTCTAACACGTTGATCTTATTGGACAAACATTATCAAGGTCATGTAGAGCATCATTACAAAACAATGACACTACGTAAATCAACTCTGTTGATATTCAGGATACAAGATAGCAAATGTCTCAAATTTTGTTAAAATGAAAAATAGTAATCAATGACTAACCTTCGTATGTATTTTTTTAATCCAAATTAGGATGTTTCATGTAGTGAAACTTGCCCAATATCCTGTATTACTTGTGAGCAAGAAATAATTATAGTAACCAGAACGTAATATTAATAATGGTGCACCTACAGAGCCTTTGTGTCTTCAGTGTTTGTTCTCTGAATGAAAAACTGTGGTTACGAGATCAAAAAAAGACTTTAGTAGCCAGGTTTAGCTCTTCGCCCGATGATTTTATGTCATCCTATTCATTCAAACTTCTCTGATTGTTGTATATATATATATCTTCATCAGAATGGATTATTTAGACGCTTTATAATTTACAACTACAGGACATAATTTAATTCTGCTGAGGAATATGCATAACTAATACAGTATTTCGCCCCTGGGAGCGTGGTAGATAATTTCTACCGTATGTATGTAACTTAACAAAATTCCCGAGGGTTCGAATCCACCTACCTCGCCAACAAATTTGTCGAATGATTACTATGTTTTGTTCTGCTGGCCTTCTTATATATGGTGTTTTGAAATGTAGATGTGACGTCATAAATATTAATGGGGAATCTCCTTGTCTCAACCCTACGTCGAGACAAGGAAATCTCACACTACTAAATGTTTGGATATACCAGCAAGAATATCGAATAAAGGATCTTGCATGAAATACAATGAGATAAGGAACATGGTAAACTTGGTCAATATCTAATAATTCTGAAGCATTCGTCGGTGATCGGAATCAATTTTTGTTTAACGGTGGGTATTGATCTCCTTAGGCGGTTGGAGATGGGCCCTATATGGGAAATGGGACAAATTCTTTAAAATCTTTCTCCTCATGTAAGAATGGTTTTTTTTTTGGTTTTTTTTTTGAATGTGAAACTTTGATAAACGGTGGGTATCACTCCTCGGACTCGGATCCCAGTTGTGGAAATAGAGCAAATTCTTTAAAGTTCTACTCCTTCGGTATAAATGATTTCGTTTCGTCCAACTTTCCTCTAAAGCATGGTTGGGTAAATCAATGGATCTCGGCCCTCTGGCTCGGAGTCAAATTGGGAAAATAGAAGAACAGATTGTTTAAAAACCTAATCCTTCTGTATGAAAGATTGGAATTTGCCTAAATTCGGTCTGAAACATTCTATGGTGAAGAGGAATCACTTTTGCTAGGCGAGCGATACAGGCCCTATGTGCCTCTTGTCCTTTTTCGTATTACAAAACATGATATGATACATTACAACAGTAATGATTTCTAACCAACCGTGATGCTCAGAGAGTAAGCTAAATGACTCAAGGTATAACATTGAATTATATCTAAGATAATCAAATGTCAAAGATGTATACACAAAGCAAACATCCAGGGAATCTATATCAATTATGTCGGTACATTCTTGGCAATGATGGTTACATATAAATATATGTATTACTATTGTATTATAATTTCGTTGTCATATCTTAAACCAGAAACCACTAATCTCAGCTATACTGATTGAAGAAATACTCATTAGATACAATGTAAACCATAAGATACAGAAAATATTTTTACTCAACTTAGTTATACATAAGGTTATGTTATATGTTATCTAATAAGGTTATTTTACATGTTATCCACTTCACTCATCATGTGTATTGATGTATATAATGTGTATTATAAAACTTCAATGTTCCGCTTTACGTATTATATTTGTTATGATGAAAGCATGTAAAATATTGCATAAAGTTGTAAATAGGAAAAAATGATTATTAAAATTGATTACTCATAAAACTGTATTTGTTATATTTTATTTCCATCAGATTCAGTTTTGTGTATAACAAAATCCGGAAAATAGGTTTTTAGAGGTTTTTGTAAACATATGCTCATACACTGCAGATTTTCACAAAACTTGGTGCATAGTGCAGTTATTCATGAAGGCGTGTGATGATGTATTTTACATTTCTTTTTCTGTATGAAGCTTCGTAATATCGTAAAAAAATTTTGTTAACCTACAATTTAAAATACTTCTCGTTTCTCTTACCACAAAAATGTTGACCAGAATGTAATCATGTAAAAACCAAAATATGCTAAAACTCGGTAATCAAGGGCATTAATTAAACTTGTGTATACACCAACACATTACACATTCTACAAATGTGTTCTTGTTTCTGTACTTTGTTTATCGATATTACATTAAAGAAAAGATAGATTATACTAAGGAGGGTTGAGTCTCAGATTAAATATGTATCATCTTGTCTATTTTTAACGTCATACAAACTAATTACATACCCTAGAACTCGCATTGTGTTTCTCTGTCGGCTAACTGGTGTTTATACTTACACGCTGCTGAATGTATCGTTATTGATATCCTCTCTCTTTGATTCATCATCAATAGTAAGTTAGTCCCCGAGGTTTTCCGTAACCTGAATGCCAAGGTTAAAATCATCTAAAAAGTACAGGAACTTGGCGGTGTTCTTAAATGACAAGATAAATGAAAATTACCACATTTATTGCATTATGGGTCTAGAACACCATCCAGCCTAGATTTTGATCTTTTGGGTTTTCCTAGCCTCTAAGGTAAGGCCCTTGACATCACTGACGAGTCCTAGAAGGACAAACAACTGCTTGATGTAGTTTGGTTCATTGTTTGCTGTATCCTACTCTTAAGTTAAAGGGTGCTATTCACTTACGTGTTTTTGTACAGTTGTGGATCGCGGACAAATAATCGATGTACGCACAATGTGTGAACGATAGAAAACTGCAATCGAACATATGTGCGTACGTTGTGCGTTTATATATCGCACGGACGTGCGACTCTCTCGTGGCTAATATTAAGTTTCATAAATGTGGGATGTTTTTCATTTGTCATAATTATGCCATAGATCTGTAGGTCCGACATATATACCTCTTTGCTGTACAGATTGAATAGATGTAAACACTCTCAATTTAGAATGTGTGGGTTACAAATTGAAGCACGTGAGCAGAGAAAAGCCACACATTACATACACATTAAATGGACGTCTCGTTTTGGTTCGGAAATGAATCATCTGAACTGTAACATTGTCAGAAATGAAATTCCATTTTCATTTCATCTGAATTACTTCATATTTCAGTTTAAAATATAAAAATGTTCAGCAAAATATGAACAAAAATGGATAATAGATAAAACATTTCATTGACACTCATCAATAACTACACGAAGAATACGAATAGTTGTTTCGGAATAATAAGCGTCTTCTGCTTCCCTGTTTTATCGACGAAGTCAACCAAACTTTCTTTCCATTGACTTAATGTTAACAGAAACGTGACATAAAACTCAAATGCGACTCAACAAGACAGACATTGCTATAAAAAGTACAAATTGAATGGTTACATAACAAGTCCACAAACAAAAGTAAAAAAAAGTATCTGACTCTAATAAAACAAAACAAAAAAAGTTTTCCAAATATATATTTTTTTCTCGTTCAAATGTATTCCTGAGTTTATTTCTTTCGTCCAAATACATTTTAAAATGTATTTATCAAATGTATTGTTTTTTATCCAAATGTATTTCTTTAGACATGATATATTTTCTTTCGTTCAAATGTTTTTCTTTAATCAAGATATATTTCTTTTATATGTGGGGAAGAACCAACGGCGTAATAATTAAACTGTTTTATGTTCTATCTGCTAATCCTACCACCCTGGACTGTCTAATTCCACAAAGCTGCGTTAAACAAAATAAAGATTTTTAAATGACGATCAACGATCAAAGGGTACATGACAGTTTATCAGTACTTTGACATATTTTGATGCTTTTTTATTGTGTATTTTTCCGAGTTGGCCATTTTGTTTTGTGACCTAGCAATGTTCAGTTTATGCCGTACCAGATATCTAATTTGTTGTGAAATCGATGGCCAGTGTATTTCTGATTCTGGATGAATTCTACTGTCTCACCTAGATATCGAAGCTTTAGGGATATTTAACAGACCTATTGGCCTCATATCATCAGTCTAACAAACCTATTGGACTCATATTATCAGGATCTGAAGATTTAGTTGAGATATTTAGCAGACCTATTGGACTCATATTACCAGGACCGGCAGGTTTAGAGATATCTAACAGACCTATTGGACTCGTATCATCAGGACCGGCAGGTTTAGAGATATCTAACAGACCTATTGGACTCGTATCATCAGTACCTGAAGCTTTAGAGATATCTAACAGACCTATTGGACTCATATTATCAAGACCTGAAGCTTTAGAGATATCTAACAGACCTATTGGACTCATATTATCAAGACCTGAAGCTTTAGAGATATCTAACAGACCTATTGGACTCATATTATCAAGACCTGAAGCTTTAGAGATATCTAACAGACCTATTGGACTCATATTATCAAGACCTGAAGCTTTAGAGATATCTAACAGACCTATTGGACTCATATTATCAAGACCTGAAGCTTTAGAGATATCTAACAGACCTATTGGACTCATATTATCAAGACCTGAAGCTTTAGAGATATCTAACAGACCTATTGCATCTTCAACATTCTGTTCTGTGATAGTAATAGTTTTTATCTGCTAATGTTACAGAGTCATCAATGGAAGATTTACATAACAAAATTAATTATTTAAAGTATCGGAGTTTTGTTTATTATCTCAATTTTGTAAAATTTGTAAAAATAAAACAAAATTAAGCACGGTGTGATATGACCATCTCAAGCTCATTTCAGGCAAGTTTGAGCCAAATCCATTGCTTGGAGGTACTTACACAAGAAAATGAATTAGGTGTACAGTCGACTGTTGTAATGATATGTTACCCACGCGTTTCCACGGTTAGAGGTGTGAAATATGAAGTTAATTATAGAATTATAGTTGACAGTATTATTTGTCAGATTATATAAAAGCATTTCAAAGGGTAGGTTAACATCAAAATTTGCAATTAATTCCTCTTCCACTGAAAGGCCATAGGCCATAGTAAAAC